GTGGTCCATGCACCTTATTTGTTGAATAAACCTTATTTTCCCCATGGACTGGAAATACCAGTTTAATCATTTATTACATTGTTAAACATATATATGTTTGTTTCTAGAATGCACATTTTTTTTCATTGATCTACTTCATTATTTCTGTGCTGGTGTCATGTTGTTCTAAGTGCTGAGACTTTATAATGGGTTTGAATTCTTTAATATTTTATCATGGATTTTGACATTTAAAAAAATAAAACCAACCTGCATTTTAAAAAAAGTAAGAAGGAAGGAACTCCTACTTTTTGCAACAACATGATGGAACTGGCAAATATTAAGTGAAATAAGCCAGTCGGTGAAAGACAAATACCGTATGATCTCACCTATAAGTGGAATCTGTTCAGCAAAATAAACTCACGAACAAAATAAACCACAGGCATGGAAACATGGAGCAGACTGAAAGCGATCAGAGGGGATGGGGAAAGAGGACAATGGTGGAAAGACGGGGAAGGAACTAATCAAAGAACATGTATGAATGACCCATGGACATGGACAACAGAGTGGGAATTCACTGTGGGAGCAGGGGGTGGGGAGGATGGGTGGAGGAGGGCAAAGGGGGAAAATTGAGACAACTGTAATAGAATAAACATGACTTAGAAATAAAAAAACTGAGATATAGCTGGTCAGTTTGACATTTTTCTCTTGTGAACTTGGGTTATACTTTCATAGTGCATTATTAAAATAGGTATATATTTGTCTTGCTAAAGCTGTTTCTAACCTTATGATAGAATTAAACTTACTCATTTTGACATAGGAAAGATCATGGTGTTCCACAGGGAGCACCATGACTTCCAGACGTTCCCCAGCATGAACCATTTTGAGAATCGACAAACTGTTCCTCATTAAGCCCTGCAGTCATGATATTCTTTATCGATGCATAACCTTTGCCTTGTTCAGGCAAAGATGACTGTGGTTTTGAACCACACTGAACATTGGCCAAGTGAGAGATTAAGGAAGGCAGGCCATTAAATACAGAGTAGTAAATGCTGCAGTGGGTGAGGTTTCGTGTGCAATTAACCTTCCTTTGGGAGGTTGAGCAGTTTATTGGAGGAGGTAACATCAAAGATGAAATAGTGAGGCTTAGAAGAAATTATGCATGTTTTTGGTTATCATATATGATTGCCTTTTTTGTGTTCTTTTTGAATAAGATAATCTGTGAATTTTTTTTGTAAGCATTTTTTTCCATCTAGTCTTCATTGATATATTTGCAGCTTTATGTTTTTGAATATTTTTCAAAGATGTTTCATAATGGTCTGTGAGAACTTGAGAACTCACTATTCAGATCTTAGCATTAGGCATGGACTGACCAGTTTCTCCTTACAGCCTGTTCTCAACCAGATATTTAAATAATGAGTACTTAACCAGAAATCACTGGATTTTTTGTTTGTTTGTTTTTTAATTTGGCACCTAATATGCTGCTGTGGACACTGTGTCTTGAGATGCGGTGCAGCATGGTCAGTAAGAGCATGAATATTAAGCCATACTGGATTCAAATCCCATTTTTGCCAATTACCACACACTTTGGGCAAGTTACTTAGTTTTCTCTCCCTCTGTTTTCTAATCTCTTAACATAGGAATAATAATTGTAGCTACCTCATAGATTTACAGAAATTAAATAATGCCCAGACATATGTGTGCATGTAAATATTAGCTGTTATCATTAGTATTAACTTGTTTATCACCACTATATAATCCCCATGCTTTGAAAGTGTAGCATTTTATTTAATCAGTTCCTTATTTGCTATATATTTAGGTTGTTTCTAATTCTTTACTGTTACAATCAGTAGTAGTCTAGGGTTTAGTGTTTGTACATTTGTATAATTGTTTCACAAAATAAGTACATATATACAGGGTTTCTGAATCTAAAATACAAACCTGTACCAAGGTCACTTGGACCAACTGTATCAGTAATTGTTTCCCCACACTCTTGCTAATGCTGGATATTATCAGGCCTAAGTATCTTTCTTTTCTTTTAGTACTTTATGGTTGATGGAGTAGTTCTTTCCCATGTCCTTACCCTATACTCACATTTTTATTCTATCTGCAATATATTGAGGTAGTGATCTATTTTTTTCAAATGAGTTATTTCCATTATGTCCCATCTCTTCCCAATGATTTGAAATGCTACTTTTGTTATGTACCAAAATCCTCATATATACTTTGATCTCTTTCTAGACTTTTAATCTCTTCTTATGGCCCGCCTATTCCTATTAAAAGTGCCATCTGATTTTAATCACGGTATCTTGTACTTTTTGATATGCTAATAAGCCCACTACACACTCAAGTATACACACATTTTTCCTCTTTATTAGGAACAATTATTTTTTTGTATAAATTACAGAATAGTTTTACTGGGTTTTAAAAGTAATACCCATTGGGCTGTTTCAAAATTAAAAGTATAGATTACTTTGGAATGAGTTTGTGTCTTTAAAATAATGAGGGTTAGATCTTAAAATGTCTGTTTATTTAGGGCTTTCATTTTTTAATATCTTACACATTTTTTAAAAAGTACATTGCTGTATATTCTGTAGGGTGGGGTTTTTTTTGTTTTGTTTTTTGCCATTTGAATGTGCTCTTTTTTTCCATTACCAGGTTTAATAATATGTAAGGTATTAATACATACTTATGTGTGTACACACACATACACACACTCTTTTATACTCTTTAATACTTCTGAAGTTCTCTTAAATTTTTTAACCTTATAGTCACATCATATGCAAATAAAAAATTTCATGTTTCTAATGTTTCTGCCATTTTCTTAATTTATAGTGACTGGACTCTAGAATGATATTGAATGACTGATGATCGCAGGCATCTTTGTTGATTCTATGTATATATGATTCAATTAAAAATGCCTTTTTTTTCTTTATCACATTATTAGCTCTAAATAGCCTTTACGCAAGGTTTGTTTTATATTAAGCTAGAGAGTGCTTGGGAAAGTGTAAGATCTTTTCCTTCTCTGGAAACAATAAGAGCATAATCTTTGGCTAAGAATAAAAAAGAGTAATAACTATAATTATCTCAGTCCCTGGAAATTTACATCTAAGGCGGAAGCTCTACTTTCTCTCCCCAAACCCAATGCCACATTAAAAGTTATGACTAATAAAGTTGGTTGCAAATGATATGACATATGCCATTTTTTTGCACCCTGAAAATGAGTAATAGGCTGGGCTTCACCTTCCTAGATACTCAGTTTCATCAGCTGCAAGTAGGTGTAGCTGCCTGTATCTTGGGAAGCTAGACGCAGAGTGCTTGCTGATGTGGGTTGGACCTCTGCCAGCATTCCCTCAGCCTCTTCACCCCCTGAGCAGGCCAGTGTCCGTGCCCAGAAATGGCTGATTTTCTCTATTTGAGTAGTGCTGAAGGTCAGGTATAATAGCTTGTTAAAGTATATCTGACTTCAAATTAACTCTGTTTTCTTAACAGTTTAACTCTATCTGGGCAATAGAAAGCCAGAAATTTTAAATAATCTCTAATGTAATCAAGAATTAAACATGTTGGCTTAGTTTTTTTTGACCTGTTAGCTGCTCTTCATTCATGGATAAAGATTACACTATGGATAATTATTTTATTGCTGTGAAAGAGGGATTTTATACGTATTCTTAATACTAGGGAAAAGTTTGCCTTTTGTCCACCCTTACCAGTTTCTCTATTTATTGGTCATATGACATTTTTTAATTTTTTAGTTTACATTTGAATTTTAGTTGAAGTAACCAGGTTAATTTTTTCAGTAGTCATAATGTAGTTAGATTTGTCTTTTTTCCTAACTTAGTAATATTAATATTTTTCCTAATATTTTTTATTATGAAAAATGTCAAACATACAAGATCTGTCTTGTAGAATGGTACACATTCTGGACTTGTCTGATTGTTCTTCATGGTTCACGTAAAAACTTTTAATTATCATAGTCTTCATGATTTAGGTCTGTTTGCTGAGAATTATTTGTATTCTTAGCCATGGCACTTAACATTAATAGTGACCTTATTCCATTTCATTCTGTTGCTGAATGTGATCTTAGTAGAGAGATCGTATAAATAATGGCTCTAAGAACAGGATCCTAATTTGAGAATATCTGTGTTCTCTCTCCAGTCCTAACAAAGATTTTCTCTATGGTCTTAAGTTACACAACTCTTCTGCTTGTGTTATAAAACAAGCAGAATTTCCTACCTTATTCTGATTGATGGTTGTAAAACCCATAAAAGGTGTAAGCATAGCTAAAATGGTATTAGAGAAATGATTGTGATACTTTTTTGGTTCTTCCAAGCAAGCTTCCATTTAGCATAAGTGCTAATTCTCAGCAGACATACTGTCTCATATTTATATTTATGTCTGAAAGGAAGGGAAACCTTAAATGCCTTCTATGTGGTAAGCACTGTTAGATTCTTCATACTGTCTTCTAATTTAGTTTTTAAGCCTCCATTCTTTTTTTTTTTTAAGATTTTATTTTTATTTATGTTTAGAGAGGACAAGAGAGGGAGCAAAACAGAGAGAGAAACATCAATGTGTGGTTGCCTCTCACGTGTCCCCTACTGGGGACCTGACCTGCAACCCAGGCATGTCCCCTGACTGGGAATCAAACCAGCGACCCTTTGCTAGCCAGGGCAAAGCCTCCTTTATAACTTGTGAAATAGTTGAGTTGCTATTTCCATTTTATAGACCAGGAGACTAAGGATCAGAGGTGTTTAGTAATTTGTTCTATATTACAAACATAGTAAGCCAGAGCCAGACTATGAACTCAGATATTAGTAAATTTTCTAAGCTACGCTTTTTCTTGAGAACTCTTCTGAATACTTCTGAATGTCACATATATTGAGAGAAATCTCTCCAACAAAAGTTGGTAGTTACTAATGAAGAACTTACACCAGTTTTTGACCAAAATCATTTAATATGTAGACAATGTTTTTAACTTTATTAATTTTCCAGTTATATTACATCTTCTGTCGCTGATTCTGTTCTAGAATGTTGGCGAAGGATGAACTGATGACCATACTTCAGAAGTGTTGCAGCATTTTAAAGTCCTCTTCTGAAAAGCAGCTTGGCAGCTCAGCAAAGAGAATAGAGGAGCTCCTGGCCCAGTTTGACAGCCTTGATGGTGAGAAGATCGTATCTTGTCAATTTTACTAGCTCTGCCAATTATATAGCTGAAATGACATGGAAAACCCCACATCTGATGTACTGAGAGATGAAGGGATAAAGTAGTTCATGTACAGTCCGTATCCCAAGCCTCAGAATATCACACTTTGACAGTCACAAAGAGGCCAAATGGTTCTTTTCCCTCTTTGGTTTAAACAATAAAAAGCATCAAATGGGCATTTAAAAACCCCAAACAAGCACATTCTTTCTCCAGGTGACAATTTAAAAAGCAGGGTTGGAAAAAGATAAATAAAAATTAAAAAGGGGGTGAGGAGAACAAAAAAATATATCAAGATTGATGAGAGTAGCAGAGCATCATAATTAAGGACTTCTTTTAGATTTTTTTCTTAAACATTTTATCAAAGTCTTTATAGACACTGCATAAATCATCTGTAATCCTGAAAAACAATAGCTCTGAACTGCTTTCACAGTCCTGAGGCTCATTGGTATGCTGATTACTAAAATATGCATGAGGTTTGCTTTAATCGGATTTACAAGAGCCTGAATCTTTCAGTGTAAATGAACTGAGGCAGCCTGGCATTTCTCTGTATTGAAGGGTTACCAGTTCCCTTTATTTTCATGACCCCACGTTTTTAGCACCAAAGTATGGTATTCTTTTGGTAAAACAAACAAACAAACAAACAAAATAAGTGTGCATCTTTCACTTTCTTCTGTTCAGGAAAAATTTTACTGGAGTTTGGGGAAAAGAGGCAGCTTAGTGTACAATGTTTACGTACATAGACATATGCCTATTGGACATGGCATAGTGAAAATATTTTACTTGGAGTGCTCATATCAGACCTTCTTATGTTTGGCAAGAGTTCCTTTGCTTTGAAAAGCCGTTGGATTTAGGAAGCCACTTTTTGCTGAAATCCCTCCCTTCTCTCCTTAGCTGTGGTGTTTGGGTACCTGATGAGTGCTCCGTTAATAGAAGGTGAAATACAAAGTTTGAAGTGGCATGAACAGGCAGAATGAAGAAGCACTCCAAGGAATAAGAGGGTTGGTCCCCTCCAAGTTGTGTGTAGGCATTTCTCTTTTGTACTACTGCATTAGCCTAACCATTTTTCAAAAGGGCTGTAACTGGGTAATCATAGAGATCATTGTCCAGTGACATACATAATCTAAAGCCCAGGAAGAGAAAGTCACTTGCCCAAGACCCCACAGCTAGCTAGCACTCAGACCAGGTCCACCCGCCTCTTAATCACCACCAGCTCATTGTTTTTTTTCTCACAGGTTCACAATTTAAATTCCCCCTAATTGTGGTCACTGGGACATTGAGGGTCCAACTTTAAGGATATAAATAGGGTAAAAGATTTAGGAGAATTTAAGATAAATTAGGTAAATTTCAATCTTATATAAAATTGGATCCAGATTTTTGTAAAATGAAACTGTAGATACTATAATTTTAATTAGAGTTCTTGTAACATAAGCTGGTGAACAAATTTTGTGGTGTGCTAATACTAAATGAAAGACTGTAGCCTAATTGGAAGGCTGGAGATTAAGATGACGGATAGTGTAAAGAATAAAGGATTTTACAAGTAGAAGCAAAACCACTGTCTTGAAGAAATGTTTGTCTTTCTCCATTTCCAAAAGTAACACATTGTTATAATAAAGTGAAATGAAAACCGCCTACATTGGACAAGTAGAAATATTTGACTATATGCTATCTCTGGTTCCTTAATACTTATTACAGTCTGGTTTTAAAATTACATTTGGAGGGTTAAGTAGGTCAGATTTATTTTTAAGGTTCTGTTACATGTTAATGAAATGGGACAGGATTTATTAGATATTTTAACCTTAAATGATATCTTTCTTGAACCAAGAATTATCCAGAGTTAAAAAGAAATTTATTCTTTGAGAGCACTGTAGATTCTCCAGCTGCATCCTACTTAGATTTAGGCCAGATAAGCCACATGAGTGGGCGTGAAGTTCCCAGAACCTTCCCTGCACGAGGAGAGGTCATTAGAGAACCTCATGCTCTTCAGAAGTACTACACCTTTTACTGGATATGGTTTACTGTTCCCTTTACTGAAGAACAGAGATGCACTTTGTGTTTTAGATTTCAAAACCTTTATGTTCCTTCTTTAATAACATTTTGTCAAAAATAGTATATTGGGACATCAGTGCCAAACTTGCCAGGGTGTAGGTATATGTTGTTTATTACCTTAGCATAATCAAAGGAACACAATTTAAATTTGTTTTTTAGGAGCTATTTGTAACAGCACAAAGATTTGGTGCTTTTTGCTGTTGGTTTTGGGGAGGAGGGTGTTTGTATTTTTTCACTGTGGTCAAATTTTTAAAATCCAGTAGCTGGTTTTTTCAAGACCCTTTTGTAGCTTAACTTATGTAGTACTTGCTGACCTTCAGCTTCTTAAGAAATCATTTATCTGATGGGCCCTTGATCCCCTGCCACATAAAAAAAAAAAATAGCCAAAACTTTGTTTCTCTTGGGTTAGAAATGTTGGTGTTAGGGTGGTCCCTGGGAGGAGTGTGAAAGAATTCACAAAGAGAAAAAAGCACAGAGAGTAAAGGTTTTTATTTTCACTCTCCCAAGGGAGGGAAAGGGTTAGGTCTGGAGGTGGGCACCAGCCCAGCCCGGAGGGGTTAGGGGTTGGGAGTTTTTATAGGGGAAGGGGGTGGTTGTAGAGTGGGATGTTTCAGTTAGGCTGCAGTTTGTTTTGATGTTATCTCTGGATGCAGGTTCGGGTCCTGTGGTCTTTGTGGTCTGGTATGTCCTGTTTCGTGGGTTCCTGGAGTCTCTGCACCTTCAGGGCGCTTCCAGTAATTTTCTAGTCCTGAGGATAAAGACTCATAAAAAAATTAGGGTCCACTGTGCTTTATGGGGTCCAGCCAGCCCTGGGAAAGAGGGCCTGAGAAAGTGGCTTTTGTCCTCTTAGTTGGTTCTCTTGACTTGATTGGGTTTGCCCTAGTTGCTGTGTATTGGTTTTGTATTTAAAGCAGAAGCTAAAGAGGAAGAAGATACTTCCGGGTCACAGTCAAAGGGGCTTCAGAAGACGGACCTCTATCATCTTCAGAAGGTCAGGTCACGCTTTCTTTTCCTTCCAACTACATCCTGTGGTACTCTCTTTTTTTTTTTGGTGTATACTCTAGATTAACTCTGCCTGGATGTTTTTATTTTCCTTTTAAAACCACAACCAGGAACAAAGCAGACTTTGTAACTCACTTAGAAATTAAACATCCTGTTGACCCCACTGCCACCCTCATCTCCATGTACACAGGCAGGCCTCAGTTTGCAAGCGAACACAGGTGGGAACTGTTCTGCAGCCTCAGAGAAAGAAAATTAACTAGCAGTAGGAAAAATGGGAAATAGTTGCACAAAAGAATCAGATTATTTATCTGATGTATTTATTTTTATGTTGAGTCTACCTCATTAGTTTTAGATACTGCCTTGGTTTTTTAATACATATTCAGCAAAGAGGAGAAATTGAGCCACAGTATATCCAATACAGTCTTTTTCAGACAGCTCTGACTGCAGAATCATAGTTGTCGAAGTATAGACCCTTCTTTGTATAGCACAATACCAAGTTAGGATAAATGTAAATTTTGAATCTAAGAAAAACAAAACGCCTGGACCTTATTCTGTTAGCATGGCAAAAGGGCAAGGTTTTCCTTCTTTCTTCTCCTTCTTGTAAGTCCTTCACTTAAATGAAGTAATGAGTTGTAGAGAGTGAGCACTCTGCCATATAACTTAGTAATGAAGCTAACTAACTGCCCTTTTCCTCTTTCCCTGAAAATTCACTTGGTATTTGAAACAAAACACCTAAGAAGAGAGATTCTTCCCAGACTTTAAAAATGAAAAACAACTTGTTTTGATCTGGTTTTTTCTTTCACATTCTGTCTTATGGAAAGGGCATCACCTGCCTCTGCCTGAGCCAGAGTTCCCCTCTGAGAGATTTCCTTTCTCAGAATCATGAGAAAAGGTGTTCTTCCCATTCACAGTCCTTATTGGAAATGAAGGAGTTAAGAAGAACAGGTAAGAAGCAGACCAAGTTTGAACTACTGAGAGAAAAAGTCGTGAACTTCATCGACAGTCTGGTGAGGTGAGTCTGTTGGTCTTAAGAGCTAGAAATCAGGCTATTTTCCCAAATAACACTGGTATGATAGCTGTCGACAGCCATTCCAGGACACTTCCCCCAGGTTAGGCTTTATGCTTTTCAGCTTCCTCCTTCCATCTAAGAATTGTAATTTTGATTGTCTTTCCGTCCTTATGAAGATGTGTAATCAAGATGATTTAGTGCATCCTTTTACTACCAGTTAAAGATACAGGTTTAAATTTGATCCAGCTCATTAGGTCTGGGCAGAGAGGGGCGGTGGTGGAAACAAAGTGTCTCTCCCCTTTCCAGTAACAAACTGTTTGCATTGCACTTCATCCGTTATCTTCGCTAGGAGTATGCTGGACCTGGGCCAAGCCCAAAAAATAGCCATAGTATCCTCTTTAATCCTGAGTAAAGGACTTACCACTCTAAAGAATAACAGTGCAACTCATTATCAGCACTAAATTCATGTTCAGAAATGTACTCATTGTAACTTTAGAAGTCCACCAGTCCTGCCTATATTTTAAGGTGATTCTTTTGAAACTCATATCATTGCTGTAGAAAAACATGAGAAATGTGAAAAAGAAAATGACTTAGTAGTTAACAGTAGGAAAAACCATAATTTATCATTGTTTATTTTTTAAGGGGAGTTCAAACTCAGCAGCAGGCTAGGCACTGAATAGAATCAAGTACTAAAAAAAATAGAAGCTCGGTTACAAGACAAAGAGTGGTTTTTTGATAAATTACTTGACCTTCTTAGAAGTGAAAAGTTCCATTTTCCAGGACAATGTAAGGGCAGAGTCATTGTTCCTAGTCTTGGGGAGAAATTACTAATGTCATGAAAGAGGTCCAAATGATCAACCAAGTATGAAAAAGGAGGGAGAAATGGTGTCATATAGAAGTGATGCAATGCAATATTGAACTGACCTACTAGCCAGAAATGATCTTAAAAAATTCGTAGAGTTAATCTTGTCCTACTGGCTTTCCTATTCTTATAGTTTCTAGTCCCAAGTTCCTGACGCTTCCCTTTTACCAGGTTATGACCACTGTAGTTGCTAAAAATAATTTTGCAGCGTAATGTAGCATAATTTCTAGGCTAAATGGCAGGTTTCTTTTCAAGTTCTTACCAATCCCAAATGGTAGGCACTGGAACCAACCATTTCCCTTTTGTGATCTTTGACCTAATATGTCTTGAGTTTTCACCTTTCTGAGTAGTTACTGAAGTAAAGGTGAGCATGATTGAAATATTTTGTTAAATCACAAAATTTTCCATACTAAGATTGACTTTCTTTACCAGGATTGACTGTCACAGGGGGGAAGAGATTAGGATTTGTAGCAAATTAGAGTAAAAGGGACCCGAGGAGTCATGTGGCAGCTAAAGCCCAGAGAGAAGCTGTGACTAGTGGAAAGTGACAGCCCCAGTATGCTGACATCCCTCCAGAGGCCCTCTGCATTTCTCCATACTGTCCCCAAGGAGCAGATGTTTGAACAGAGCTCGGAGTTCTCGAGAAATGTGGAGGAAGATGATCCAGAGCTGTTCAAACAAGCAGTGTACAAGCAGACCATGAAAAGTCTTTGCTGAGCTGGAGATTAAAAGGACTGGGACAAGCCAAAGAGATGCGTGAAAGGAAGTGACAAAAGGAAGAGACTGATGCTCAGATAGCCAAATGGGAGAGGGAGTGGCAGGAAAACATTGAGGGAAAAAAGTTGAGAGGGCTGTGTGGACAGCTGGCAAAACTTCTAAACAAATACAACGGGGAAGAAAGAGAAGAAAATTGGACCTTCCTGAAACCACCAAAAGTAAAAATAGAGCAGTGTTGAGTGACCCCCTGGGGTCACAGCAACAGACCCTTCCCCTGTCTCCTCTCCTACTTTAAAGGGCTCATTCTTTCTTCCCATTTCCACCCCAGCATAGGGTGTATTATTTGCCATTTAGTCCATTTTTGTTTCAATGCAATTCAGTATCAATAAATGAGAGGCTGTGTTTAAAAAGAAAACTCCCGCCCCCGCTCCCAGGCAAGCCAACATTAGAAGGTGCCACTGGTGGTACTGCCCTCTCTTTCCACAGCCTATAATGTAATGTTTTGTACTTCACTAACTGTGCTAGTTAGAAATGTTGTGTAGTTTGTGGCAATCATCCAATTAAACATATTGCTTAAAAATAAAGAGAGAAACTACTGAAAGCAGAGACTTAAGTTGCTACTTTCTCAGTTACTGTTTCACAAGCTTCAGTTTTGTAGCCCTTGTTAATACTAAGTGGTTCTACCACTTCCCTTAAAACTACCTCTCTGATCTGAATCCAGAATGAGCATCATCTGGATTCTGGTGCTCTAGTCAGACTTCAGACTTCACTGCTTATTTCTTCTCACAGCAAGTAAGCGGCAGAAGTAAATTTCTGTGCCATCCTCTAGGTTTGTATTTGGACAAAACATTAATGTATGATACTTTGTACCTCTTGTTCATCTATTTTGGCCCAGTGGAAACAAAATACAAGCAAATACATTGCCTCTGATATCCTTTGAGGATATCCAGAAAGACCTACCTATTGCCTTGGGAATTACCTGAATTTCTAAAGATTAAATATGAAGATGTTAAAAAGGGAGGAGTACAAATATGAGACAGTACTTTTTCTAAAATTGACTCTCTGGTTGCCTTGTTAGACTTTCAGTCCTTATTACATAGCAGGGACTTCAATAGGGTCTTTAGTGATTGGGGAGAAACAGCCTGAGGTTGGTATAGGAAGAATTTATGGTCAGAAATTATAACACCCTCTTCACTTTCTCTTCCTCCACTGACCACAGGGGTGGAGCAGGTTTAGTGGGATTTTCTAGGCAGTAGTATCCTCTCCTCCAGGAAGGAGAACGCCAGGAGAAGAGGGTCATCTCCCTGGTGATTGGACTGAGGTAAATGCTTCAGTGTGCTTGCACTAGTGGAAAAAGGACCTGACACAAACCTGTGATGTGGCCAAAAGTATTTTAAGGCTAGGAATGGTCTAAGCCCCAGGAATCTGTCGGAAGGCCTGTAAGCTAACGGAGCGACTCACTCCTCACTGCCTTCGGGTGTGTCTGTCTGCTGCTCCCCCAGGCCGTCAGGGAGCAGTGTCGCTGTCATGGCGGAGACCAGCTGACGGGCTCATGATACTAAGTGACATTTTTAATGCTTTATTTTCAGAATTTAGATTTCATGACAGTTGGTTTGTCATCGAGCTCATAATTAAGAATCCTAAATTAACTTTGTTTCAGTAACTAGAATTTTAATGATAAAAAATTTGCGTGTTTTTCAATATTCTGAGACAGAAATTTAGCCTTTCTGCCTTCTGCAGTAAAAAGTAATTCTAACAAATAAAAAACTTTTCCAGGTATTAATTAAATAAATTAAAACATTTTCTGTGATCCAAAAAGAATTTCCTAAACTCTCTAATTCCAGGCCTGAGGCCACAAGTTAAATGTTTGCTCTGGTAAGGATTGTAACATCTGTTTTCTAAACAATTTAAGAATGCCATTAATACTTAAAAGTTCTACCTTAAAAATTTTGAGCAGGTAGGTATGTACATTTTTTTTCTAAAGGTTTAAATCAGAATATAGTTTATTCTAGAGTTCTGGAAGTTTCTAAAAATGCATGGGAGAGGTACAATTCTGAGTGAACCTGCCCTGGGTTTGATATTTGGGTGTTTCATTTTTAAGTAAATTGCTGTCTTCCACCAGAGGTTGACAAAAATGTTATGTTGAAATTAAACCTGTGCTTACCTAAAAGCTGATACTTAACTTCGGCTGTTTCAGACAGTACCTTTTGCCTCCTGAGACGCAGCCTTTGCACGAGGTGGTGTACTTCACTGCCGCCCACACCCTTCAGGAGCACTTGAATGCTGCTCCGCGAATCGCCCTCCACACTGCGCTCAACAATCCTTATTATTATCTTAAGGTAAGAAGCAGATCCATTTCTCTGACAGTTTAGTTTCAGACCCCAGGCATTATTTATTACAAAAATATTGTAAATTTACGATTCTAGTTACTGGGGAGAAAGTTGGCAGCTCCAGGTTGCACCTCTTTCAAGATACTTTATCCTTTTGACTTTAGAAGGCATTTTCTAAGCCAGTGAAAATAACAACCAATAGTCTCAGCTAATGCTGCCAACTTTGGATCATGTGTAAATGCCTTCCCTTTCATGTGATAATGGGTTTAAAATAACTTGAAAAGCGCTGATGCTTTTTGTAGGGGTTAGGATCTGCAGTGTTGACAAGTCTTTTTTTGAGATTACAGCCTTGAGAGCTGTGTGTGGGAATTAACACAATACAGTAATTCTGAGAATTCAAGTTAATAGGAAGTGTTGGCAGTGGCAATTTATTGAGAATCTGCAAAGAAACTATAAACTTTTTATGAAAACCATAAATTCATTAGGGTCTCAAAAATTAGCAATGTTATTATTAAAATGAAAAAAGGAAATTTGGGAATAAGTGAAAAAAGACACTTGTCTTCTGATCCTGGGAGTATTCAAATGATTAGGCGCTAGATATTATGACCAAGACCTAATCCTAAATAAGCAGCTAAGTGCTGGAGAGTAAATGCAACTCACTATGTAAAAGAAACTAGACTCTATTTTATTACCAGCTTACTAATTTTAGGTGTGGAGACTTATTAATGTCTGTTTTTTGTTCCTAGTCATCTCTAAAAGGTAGTCATCTTAGTTTACTGTTATTTTTAGAATGAAGCACTGAAAAGTGAAGAAGGCTGCATTCCAAACGTCGCCCCAGACATCTGTATAGCATACAAACTGCACCTAGAGTGCAGCAGGCTCATCAACCTTGTGGACTGGTCAGAGGTAGGTGGGGGTAAAAGAGCAAGCAGTATATTTGTATACCATGCTTGACAACTTTCCTGGGAGTCTTAATACTTTTGGTATTTTGGAACTCATGTTTTTTTTTAAATGTCTCATTTGGAAAGTATAAATCACCTCATACTTCAAAAATTCCTCCAGAATAGCAGCTAACTGCTCAACAGTCCCACTCTCAGTCCCCTGCTCTGTGATCCCACACACCTCAGCCAAGCCAATGGTGCATTCATGCCAGGTCAGAGTATGGGATCAAACCTCACAGTTAACAGTTAAGCAAAAGCTGAGCAAGTTAGATCAGTTTTGTTACTCTGCAAAATTAAATGGTATGAACCAACATTTCCCTTATTGCATAAAAGAAAAACAAAACCCATTTGAATAACCACATTAGCAATCAAGAAGTACAAGGAATACTTGGACACACTGTCATTCTTAAATTAACTATTCTTTCCCTTCTCAAAATACACGTATTGTGAAGTTAATTCTGTTGAAGGCTCTATTTTACAGCTGTCTTGTCACCATTTAAAAATACTCATAGTTAGCTTCTTCCAAGAAAAACAGGCATTTTGGGGGTTAATGGAGGTTGGGGTACAGGATACAGGCTATCCTTTGGTTTTCAACTTGAACTAGTTTTTCTCTGCACATTATTCAGGAACCACTCTATTGCCTTCTAATGTGTACTTCATATAAAGTCATCAGTATAGTTTTGAGAATCTGAAGTTTGTTGTAATTTTTAAAAATGTGCCAGTTAGCAGCAGCAGCGCTTGATTTGGGTTCATACAGAGCCATCAAGTGCAATTAAAGATGTTTGGCAACAGTAGAGATATTATTTTCTTCTGACTTGTCTCAAAGGCTTTTGCAACAGTTGTGACAGCTGCTGAAAAACCGGATGCCAATTCTGTAACCTCAGAAGAAAGGAATGAAATTATCCAGTATCCTTTTAAAACCATTTCTACAGTGTCCATGTATACAATGTTTATAGTTTTCCCAGATTTACAGTAGAGATTTATAAACACATCGTGTGACCAGCCTTGTTTTAATATTAACCATCCCATCCCATAATGACTCGTTTCAAAATATTTAATCCAAATTTAAAATGAGACCAAATCTAAAATATGCAGTATTTGGTTTAAAACTTATATCAAGGTCATATTCCAAAATTCCCCAAAAATATCCAAAACTGACATTATTGAATTCTGTTTTTATAAGGTTATTAACATACTTTTAGAAGTGAGGGTGGAGCACAACTTTCATACTGTGGGAAAATTTAGAATTAGGTTTTAAGCATTAAGCACTTTTCCATTCATGTCTTACTGATGGGATTCCAATTACATTTATTTTCCTGTAAGGGTTATAGTTTGTTTTAGTAGTATACAGTTGATCTACATTTCAGTTTACCAAGTAATGTTTTATCACAGATTTTAACCTCTTTTTGTCAAAATACAACATGGCCAATTTCCTTTACTATACCCTCAGTGCTCGGTTTATTAGAGCTGTTTCTGAACTAGAACTACTGGGATTTGTAAAACCTACCAAACGGAAGACTGACCATGTTGCAAGGCTAACATGGGGAGGCTGCTAGAAAGCAAATGAATGGAGCTAAAAGCATCACATTTAGCCTAAGAGAAAAGGGAGACCAGTCATACTTATTTATACAACTAGATGAAGACAGACGTGCAACCCCCTATGTAATGTTTAACCAGAAAGTAGACTGCTAATCCAAAACAGGAATATAGCAAAACACCTTTGGAGTGCTTCAGAATCCAACAACGTGCTTACATTGTAACTAAACCTCGCACATTATTACTGTAACTTTCACATTATTAATAGTTCTTGAACATGGTATATAAATGTAATAAATACCTTTATCCAGGAGTATAAATCAGTTGCAGTTGATTTAATAGGACTCATACCTGCTCCAAGACATTTTGGGGACAAATGGAAAAATCTGAATATGGACTGGGTATTAAAGTAGCGAAGTTGATAAAGATATCATAAAAGAACTACGTTATCCTTAGGAACTGCAGCATGTACTTTGAAAGTTACTGCAAATATGGTACAATAACTGCTCACATTAACTGTATTAACTAGACTATTCTTTCAGACTTTCTATGGAAAAAAAGTTTGAGTTTTGCTTTAAAGGTTATTATAGAGCAGAAAAATAGGGTACTAGAACTAGGGGGGATTACAGGATCAAAATATTTTTAATAGTATGCTTATATGCTTATGGGGGTGTTCTAGGGAACAAAATGAATGCAGGAGAGGGGGTGCTCAGAACTGTCTTTGAGATGGGAATTTGGATCTAATTTTTATCTAAGGCAAACATAGGAACAGAATTGCTGGAACCACATCTGAGTAAACAGGGACAAATAATTAAGTGCTTAACACCAATTACTGTATAATTTTGAATGGAGTAGATAATTCAAGTAAGATAATCCTTTCCAACCACAACAGCCTGATATCAACCTAGGGAGCATATTAAATTCCAACAGTCCTCCCCTCCCCACCTTCTAAAGCAGTCTTGAGGTAGAACATAATAGGATCTTTCCTCGAAGTTTTCCAGTTAATATTGTTAATTCAATGAATGTCTTATTTAGAAACCATTTTCTTCAGCGATTATAAGTTCTTACCATAAGCCAAAGATAGCTTTGATATTTCAAACCTCCAGTACATTTTTTCTGATTGCCTATGCTTTGCTTTTCCTCAAAAATACAAATTATTATATCTGGCAGTGTGCCCTTGTACACTGGAGATTTACTGAACACATTACAGTAACCTGCGTACAGCACCATACCAGCATTACCCTTTACTGAAATAAGAGACTGTTAGCACACTAAAATTCTGTAGGTATTTACCTATTAAAAGCAATTCCAAGGGTCTTTGGGAATTCAGAATCCCTAGGTAGCTTATAATGTATAATCTGTTGATATAAAGTGTGGTTGGTATTTGGACTAATATACTATTGGGTCCATCTAATTGTAACTAAATTCAAGAAGCTGCCAACATTATTTTTTCTGGAAAACCTCACATACTACTTAAAGTCAATAAGTAGCCCATAAACTAGGGCTTTTTAGTATAGTGATAAAGCAGAAATTTGGCTGTGGAGGAAAATTTATTCCTGATCAAACTTGAATCAAAAATTAAAACCATATTACAGGCACATCTGGTTTTATTGCACTTCACACATAATGTTTTCATCAATCATCAATATTTTGCTGGCGGTGGGCAATACCACCACCATCAAAATGAGTACAACTCACTGAAGGTTCAAGATGATGGTTAATTAGCATTTTTAGCAACAAACTTTTTTTATTAAATATTTTTTTAAAGACACAATGCTACCATATACTGAATAGATTACAGCATAGTATAAATATAACTTATTTTTAACTTAAATTTTTATTTTTTAACCTCATTAAATATGGTTGTGGGTTTTTTAAAGATTTTATTTACTTCTCAAAGAGAAAGGGGAAGGGAGAAAAAGAGGGAGAGAAACATCAATGTGGAAGAGATACATCGATTGGCTGCTTCTCGCACCCCCCCAGCTGGGGACCTGGGCTGCAACCCAGACATGTGCCCTGACTGGGAATTGAACCACTGACCTTTTGGTTTGCAGGCCTGCACTCAGTCCACTGAGCCACACCGGCCAGGGCTAGTGTCAATAAAATTTACATGTACTGGGAAATCAAAATTACGTAACTCACTGTGATGTCTGCTTTATTACAGTGGTCTGGACCACCACCGCAGCATCTCCAAGGGATGCCTATACTTGTGGCTCCATTCAGATTTATTTCCCTTTTAGTCTATCTTACCCTACAAGTGTAAACCTAGTTCTTTTCGTAAATTTAAGTGAAAATTTGCACAAACTTAATTAAATGAATGTTCACCGTTTTGCCGTTACGAGATAAGGGGTAAAATGTATTTCACACTCTACTCTCACTGTTTCAGATTTTAATTTACTACTTGCTTTCTCCTAAAAATGCTGTCCTACTGTATCGGTGGTTCTCAGTTGGGGACTGTTTTCTCCCCCTACCCCAACATTTGGCAGGACCTGGAAGTACATTTTAACTGTCATAGCTGGGGCGAGTATGCTACTGGCATCTAGTTGTAGAGGCCAGAGATACTGCTAAACATCCTGCAATGCACAGGAGAACACCCACAAGAATGATTTGGCTCAGCCCTGACTAGTGTGGCTCAGTTGCTTGGGCGTCATCCCACAAAGTGAAAGGTCACTGGTTAGATTCCAGGTCCAGAGCACATGCCTGGGTTGCATACTGGAGTCAACTGATCAATGTTTCTCTCCTTCCCTTCCCCTAGAATCTTATTTAAAAAAAAAAAAAAAAAAAAGACTCAAATTATCAATAGAGTTGAGGTTGAGGATCTGCATCAGTCCATTAAAAGCAGGTAAGAATTACACACTTTATTGATGGCCATTCGGTTGTACCAATGTTTCTCAAACATTTAATGGGCATATGAAATTATCTCAAGGTCTTATGAAAGCCCTATACCTCTTTTTGGTCTGTTTTAAAGAATTTGGTAAAGTAAAATCACCAAAAATCTTTAAAAAGGAAAACAACCCTTTTCCTTCCACAAATTACGTCAATTAGACGTGTGTCCTGGAGCATTTATGACTGGAATATGCTAATAGAATTTACAGAAGAATTCACTGAAGCATTTCTGTTCCCGTCATGAGGAAAGCTTTGTTTGAAAAGCATGTATTGAAAGTGAGTTAAATATGCTTTCATATATAATCCTTTAAAAAAAAAAAAAAAAGCAACCAAAAACCCCAAGACACTTGGATCCTACTGGTATCTTTGAAGTTAAAATTCCACAGCTGTTAAAACTGATAATTTATGTAACATTATATCATGCAGTTATAAGCAATTTGGAATCAGACTCAGTTTTTGAAAATAGCACTGAAATCTTAGATTTGGTAATGAAAAGATTGATTTTAAAATCTTACTAGAAAATTAAATTCATTGATTCCTAGAAAATGCTTACATTTAAAACATTGGCTTTATTCAAATACTACCCCACCACCTGTACATTAAAAAACAAGTAGATTAGAAGTAAATGTTTTATTCTTCCAACTAAATTCCAGTACTACAAGGGCAATAAAACAATGATACACTGGGGCGGGGAGGGGGGATGCAGCAATAAACATTTGTTAAAAAGACTGATAGAATAAATAAAAACTACCAAAAAAAAAAAAAGAGAGAGAGAGAGAGAAATCATATAAACCCATTCTGAAACCCCAACCCCAAGAAGTCCTGAAATACAGAAATGCCCTCCTCCTTCACTATTTCACAGGAAGCACTGTAGGCTATTTGCTTAATAATGTCCTGGGATTACATTCTAAAGTATTAACAACTGGTTACAACTTGGTTGTAGTGCACAATTAAAATCACACTAACTTCATCCGAGTGTCATTCTACAGTTTTATTTACACAACCAGTGAAGGGCATGTTCTTAGAATACCAGCTTTAATCCTTTTCAAACATATTAATATAAGAAGCCAAATTGTAATGATACAGCAAATGAGGCCTGGTATTAATACAGGTAGCAAAAGTCCACATCCAGGTGTTAACTGACATCAGGGAAATTTCCAAAACCAGTTGCTGCCTAAGAGTGGTTGCCACAGACGAAAGCCTGAAATAACCTGTATTCACAGGGGGGTATCGGCATTGCTGCATGTCATAATTGGGACCTCTTGCAACAATTCAACAAGGAACAAGGCAGCCCACATATGCAGAAAATGTGATTCATGAAACATCTAAAGGGGGAGAAAAGGAAAATTAATGCAAAGTCCAATTCAAAATTCAAACACCAGATTTTTATCCCCAACCCTAGGGGTTTTCAACCTTTTTGATCTCATGGCACACATCAACTACTTACTAAAATTCTGCAACACACCAAAAAATATTTTTTGCCACTCTGACAAAAAGCAGGCATAATTTTGATTCATTCACACTAGATGGCTACTGGCTGTTGTTGTTGTTGTTTTTTTTTTTAATGACAATCGAAGGGAAAAGAGGTTAGTGCCCCTGACTAGTCAAAATACTACATGTTTTATAAGTTCTTACGATATACCAGTGTGCCTCTTGTGGTACACAAGCTGAAAAATCACTGCCCCAGGTATTTAATAACTAAATGTTAATAAGCCTTAGTAAAATTGCCTATTTCCTTCAAGTTTTTAAGATAATTATAATAAATGTGTTCTCCTTAAGACTGTTGTTTTCAGTTCATATATGCAATACTCACAACTAGCAGGCTGTTCTCCATATCGTCGCATTATTTGATCATGCGTAAACTTCACAAATGCATCATATTGTTCTATAAATAAAGGTACATGTGAATTACATGACTTGCAAAATGCCCTCTCTAATAAATTAGAGCCAGGTGAACTCTGAAAAATCCAATGTGTATAGTGAAACAATTATAAGTTGGCATTTAATCAGACATATAATCTCAGTAATAATGATAGTCGCAAATGGAAACCTTTTAAGTCCAAATCACATAACTCATGTATAGAATAGGTAAGGCATATTGCTTTCTTTCCTTTTTTAAAAAGATTTTATTTATTTTAGTGAGGGGAAGGGAGGGAGAAAGGGAGAGAGACATCAATGTGTGGTTGCCTCTAGAGTGCCCCCTACTGGGGACCTGGCCTGCAACCCAGACATGTGCCCACAACTGGGACTCCAACTGGCAACCCTTTGGTTTGCAGGCCAGTGCTCAATCCACTAAGCCACACCAGCCAGGGCTATATTTCTTAACCTATTAAAAAAATAAAAGGCTTGAATACACTGTCCAGGTAGCTCAGTTGGCTAGAGTATTGTCCTGATATCCAAGGTTGCAGGTTCCATCTCTAATCAGGGCACGTACAATGGTCAACCAATGAATGGATAGATAAGTGGAATAATAGATCAATGTTTCTCTCCCCCCACCCCCTCTCACACACAATTTTTTAAAACTTTTTAGATGTCTTTGTACTCTGAAAGTGTCTTATAGACACTTTGTAAGTGGTCTATAAGTGGCAAATTTACTGCAGTGAAAGGAAATCTATGATGAAAGCTTTAAAAAATAGGATATATTAAAAAAAATCCACCTGTAACCTAGTCAGATGTCACAGAAAGATGTTATATAATTAAGCAAACTCTTTTGCCTATATTAGCACCTTAATTTACCTCCTTAAGAATCACACAGCTTTTAATATTGATCTGCAGTAAAATCTGTGGCATTAAAAATCAGGGTGGGGAATTCTAATTAAGTCACCACATGTAGCAAATTTTATTCACTGCACCTATGTTATCAAATTTTACTAAATATTTTTTTTTATAATTAAGACTGTAGCAGCTTGATACTTTAAAACAATGAACACAGTGCCAGTTAGATTATTTCAAGTTTCTAGACAAAGTTATCATGAAAGATGTAAAGTCCAAAAACCCAATTAAATTTATATCAAAATAAAAATCTAGTTCACTAATACTGCTGCTGGTCTACATGTCCAACAAATACTGTTTCTTGAGGTCACTAAGAAAGGCTATGACATACAGAAAAATTCCTTAGAAAACATTGTACCACTGTACAGAAGAGTAAATTAACTGACATGAAGTGTATGTGGGAAATAATGCATTTCTTACAGCGAGTTTCTGGGAGACTAAATAAACTCATACCTGCAA